TGTCATGATCAGTCCGGACCTGAGACCCGCGGTCCTCCTTAGACCGGGTATCCGTAGTTCCTGTCGCAGCGCGGGGGGCAGTGAGGGTTCAGCCAGTACTCCAGGTTGGTCTCCCGGGCCCTCTGGTCCAGAACCTGCATGTAGAGCATGTGCTCCTGCATGGGGGGGACCGTATTTAAGCAAAGAATTGAAATTAGGAGTCACAATTAACACAAAAAACTTTATTTTACAATCAAAAGATTAAAACTCATTTCAACATCAACACAGAAGAAAAACATTTTCTGCAAAAAGAAGTCAGAAAATAAAACAGAAGTTTATTTATTGTCAAAAAAACAAGATAAAGATTTCATGATTTAATTGCGGAACAGCGCCACCCTGTGGATAACTGAGGGAAATCACGCAGATAAATGATAGGTACTGTATATACGGTATGAAGCAGAACTAAGGTATAAAAGTTGAACTTTTTGTTTAATGACTCATCAGAAAACATCACAAGTCTTTAGTAACATTTTAATAAAACATCTTAAAATAAATTTAAAGCAATAAACTAACATTCTGCAGGAAGTATTAATTGTTCTCAAGCTYAAAGAAGAAATATGAAATATCTGTTTGTTTTATTTCAGGCTGTTCTAAATTAGTTTCTTCAAACCAGCTGATAAACAATAAAACCTTTCATTAGTTTATCTTCATCCTGACTGGATCATACCCTCATCGGCTCGTCGGGGTGTCCGGCCTTCGGGGGTCTGTCCTGTCTCTTGCTGCGGAGAAGCTGCTTGGCAAACTTCTCCTTGATGACAGGGTTTGCATCTGAGAGAAAAAAAAAACTTTTTATCCTGTGAACCATTCGCTCAGTTCTCCTCCTGCAGCTCGTCAAGAAACACCACTCGATTCTGAAAAAGCTGGCAGAAGCATTTCTTATTAGCAGCAGTCCATAAACATCTGATGGTGTTTTTAGATGCTCAGATGCACCCCTATACCATCAGAGAGGCATGCTTTTGAACTGTGCTCTGATAAAATCCTAAATGGTCATGTTTCATAATATGTTGCAGATTCAGGGCTATAAAAAGAAAATAACTCTGGTTGTGAGTCAGAGTTTGTTCTTGCTTGTTTTTAAGCTCAAATAGCTTTGAGTTTATTTTAAGTTTGTCTTTTCATAAAGGCAGCAGCTGTTTTGGTCTCAGCAGAACCAAACCGCTGAGGTTCTGTTCAGCTCTGTTGACTACCCGACACCACAGGAGCTGCTTTCACTGCACAGCGAGGGGGGTTCTCTCTAAACCCCCTCCCTCCAGTCCTGGGGGCCGGGTGGGCAACAAAAGTTCTCATTCATCCTCCTGGCTGAAGAGAAGAGTCGGAGCGCCTCCTGCAGGCAGCAGCAGGGAGCTGCAGCCCAGTTTTGTCAACAAGAGAGCAGAACTTCTGWTGGTTCTGCTGCTGAGGCCTGAAAACAGCCCAAACTAACAAGCAATCAGAACTGTTGCTATTTGAAATAATACCAAAATATTACAAAAATATCTCAAATAAATCATTTTCCCACTGTGAAAACATGTTTTTCTTTAACGAGCATACAAACGATCCACAGCTGTAAATAAAAACTTGTAGAAAAACATGAAAATGTTTTTTTAATCTAAAAGTCTTCCTGTACCTGAGCAGCAGGTCAGCAGCAGCGGGACGAGCAGAAAAACCAGCAGCTTCTTCATCTTCATCACCTCCTCCTGCCTGAGTCTTCACAGCTGTGAGCTCCAGAGTCCAGGGGTGAAGGAGAGCATTCTCCTCCTCCTCCTCCTC